CTAATACTTAGCGGCCTACCTAATACAAAAAGCAATAGCGATAGCTCTTATAAGAGGCGCGCCCTCGCGCCCCTACAGACAATAGAGCGCAGAGCAATCAATATAATTAGTTTCTACTATCAAGTTTATCACAGTCTTTTATCACAGTGATCCAAACGGGTCCTTGATCAGAAAATCCCTAACAGTCTGACAGGTCTATAGATATAATATTATTCTACTAGACACTTATATATCTCTAGATGTATAACGTGTTTCACCAGTAAGCGGGCCACCCCAGTATGTAGGCCACTTCCCTATGATATCCCACCTTTGCAACAACAACGCGTAATGTCTTAACAACGCAACGCGTTAAAAACTTATACTAAAGCAGATCTATTTCTTGCTATTACTAATCTTGATTCTAAACAAATTTAGAGTGAACAACGCGCTGCTACCGCCTATAGCGTCCCATGAACAATAATCTAGCGTCGACGAGCTAGACAGCGCCCTCGAAGCGATTGGGAGCCACTAGCAAGGCGCCTAACAAAACTAGAAGAGGAGGCTATTACTATGCGTGTAATAGTCGAGGCTGAGCGAGGACTACCCTGTGGGAAAGACGACGTGCGAGATATGGCCAACAGACTGCTCTGAGAGCGTGGCGGGAAGGAGGTGGGCAAGAACTAGGTTGATAGGTTTGTCTAGCGCAATCCTGAGCTGCGTACGCGCCGGAGCCGTCTATACGATCACCAGCGAGCTCTCTGCGAAGACCTAGCGCTTATTAAGGGCTAGTTTAAGCTAGTTTAGAATATAAAGGCAAAGTATAGTATCGTAGACAAAGATATCTATAACTTTAATAAGACTAGCTTTATTATAGGCAAGATTTTATTATAGTTAGTTATTATAGGCTTAGATAAACTAGGGAGAACAAAGAAGATCTGGCTAGGCAATCGTGAGTGGGTTACGCTAATATAAGGCGTTAGCGCAACAGGCACGCGTATCCTAGCGTTTCTTATCTTCGCTAGCAAGGTTCTAATCTCTACCTAGTTCACGGAGGATCTGCTACGCGACTAGGTGATCTAAGTTAGTCCTACTAGCTAGACGAACAACAATCTAGCGCTTGACTAGCTTCGTTACTTTAATTCCTATGCGCGGCCTGTGGGGACGCATAGGCTGCTTATTATTGACGGCCATGAGAGCCACTGCTTAGTGGATTTCCGAGATCTCTGCGAAGAGATGAAGATAATCCTCCTCTGTATGCCTCCCCACTCGTCGCACCTCTTACAGCCTCTTAATGTGGGCTGCTTCTCGCCGTTAAAGCGCGCGTATGGTGATGCTATCTTAGTCTTAGCACGCAATCGCATCTACTATATTAGCAAAGAAACCTTCTTACTAGCGTTTAAAAAGGCCTATTATAAGGCTATTACACTAGAAAATATCTGCAGAGGGTTCTAAGGTGCTAGACTTTCACCGCACGATTATAACGTTGTTTTATTACAGCTTAACGTCATGCTGCGTACGCCAACTCTACTAGCGCAAGAGACTACTGCTTAGGAGCCGAAAACGCCGCGCAACGCGCGCGAAATAGAGGCGCAGGCTACGCTTATTTAAAACTATATGCAAATCTAGCAAGGGTCTCCTACAAGTTCTCTTAAGGTGTAGATATAGTAGTTAAGTAAGAGAGCTTAGCAGATAGCTTATAGTATAGTATTAATGTAGGAGAAACTTAATTGCCTTAAAGCTATAATTATAGAAGTAACGAAGCAAAAAACTCGTAAGAGGCGCTACATATAGGCAAAGGGGTTCTAGACAGTTAGCTAGATAGCTAATTAGATTGCTAAGGCAGAGGGTGGTAGCTATAATAATGGTGCAACGTCTGCGAAGAGGGTGCGTAGTGAATAGCGCTGCAGGCGTTGCAGCCAAATTAGACACAACTCTTGCACTTGTTAAGTAGAATTAGAGGATATAGAGGATAGCAGTGCGTCTAAAGAATAATATCTTATTCTACTTAATAAAAAATATTGTAGTGGTGTTGCGCAATACTATTATAAAGATGTAATAGTTTAGGGAGGTGGCCTACATACTGGGGTGGCCCGCTTACTGGTGAAACACGTTATAGCAATAGTTATTATTATTCTTTCTTAACTCCTACTTCTTCTAGTAATGCTTCTTATATTTCTTTTAGCTATAGTTAACCTAGTGTAAATTCTTATATTGTGTTATGCGTGTTTTAAACGTGTAAAAGTTTTATTCTTTAATTTAAGCCTTAGGGCTCTTAAAGCGTAGTTGTTTATAAATTGCTTAATACCTAATCTTTTTAGCTTTAGGGCCTGTAATTATAATACGTCCCTATTAGTGGCAGTTATCTACCTAGTGTGCAGCGTCTCTACAGACCTAGCATTAGTAATTCCTTAGGTAGCTCTAAATCTTAGCCCTATTAATCTTCTAATTTGTTTCTTATAGTATATCCTATTAGACATTCTTAGCTCCTAAGGCTTCTTATACTATCTTAAAGGCCTTATTACCTTCCTAGCGCGCTGTAACGACGCAGGCAAGACTACTCGGATCAGTATCGGCGGGAAGAGTCACTCAGAGGCATATGGGAGTGCGTGGTGGACAGCAACCAGGCCTTGATTCAAGTAGACACCTATAGGTCTTGTACGAAAGGATATCAAAAGTCTACAGAGCTAGCTACAGGGAGTGTCTCAATATATACCTATCCTAGTCGGGTCCGAATTCGGATCCGACCTCGGGCGAATGGCTGATGAAGGGCGCAGGTACTTCTCCGATCCGGCTCTGGGATTGGCTC